TTTTTCACTCGTTTTGGCGCCAAGAGAGGGTCACATAGTCGTGGTCAAGTTAAGAACTTATAATTTAATTTTGATAACAATAGATACAAGTAAAAAGTAGGTATTATATTAATGTACGTAAGTACTGTACTTAAAAATATTTATTCTTTATTGTACATTTGAAAAACTTAACACTTAAGGACTTGTACATATACACGTACATACTGTCATTTTCTCTTAAAGACATCCAGAGAAGCACTATTTATCAAATTATGCATATGAATATATATAAGGTACATATACCAAAATAACAATTTTTATAATTTTTGTCTGTCTGTCTGTCGGTCTGTTTGTTCCGGCTAATCTCTGAAATGGCTGGACCGATTTTGACGGTACTTTTTTTGGCAGGTAGCTGATTTATAAGGAGTAACTTAGGCTACTTTTATTTTAGAAAAATAAAGTTAATTCCACGTGGACGAAGTCGCGGGAACAGCTTGTTTTTAATAAAAACTGTTTATTTGATAAAAAAACATCTTTTTTGTGGTACTTGAGAATGTTGAAGCCTGTTGTTTGTAATATTGAAATAACCGTTTTTTACTACTTGCATATGAATATAAATACGGTACATACACCAAAATAACATATTTTACAATTTTTGTCCGTCGGTCTGTTTGTTCCGGCTAATCTCTGAAATGGCTGGACCGATTTTGACGGGACTTTTTTTGGCAGGTAGCTGATGTAATAAGGAGTAACTTAGGCTACTTTTATTTTAGAAAAATAAAGTTAAAAACCACGTGGACGAAGTCGCGGGAACAGCTAGTGTATAATATATTAGAGATACCTACGTGTTTTTTTATTGATGACTAGCTGTACACGGGATTTCGTCCGTGTGGAATTTCACTTTATTTTTCTAAAATATAAGAAGTTAAATTCCACGCGGACGAAGTCGCGTGTACAGCTAGTTGTCTTGTCGGTAGTCTAGAGATTTAGCTAGCACACCGCTTTGATTCCTGCTTGGTGGTCGAGGGTTCGATTCCTCGCACGCTGCAAACATTTGTATTCATGAGTATGATTGTTTGTAACGGTCTGGGTGTTTTCTATGTATAGATAATATATATGTATTTACGAAAAAAAATCTTTGTATTTGTATCAGTACCCATAACATAATCTTCAGCTAGCTTAACTTGGGTCTAGATGAAGCTGTGTGAATTGTCCTGAGATTACTATTATTACTATAATAAATCTTTTCAAATCAGCCGATGTTTATTTTTGCCATAATACGTGCTGTTACCATGTGATAATATTACGTACGTACTTATTAAACTATTAACTTATTATTAAATTGTTTGTAACGGTCTGGGTGTTTTCTATGTATAGATAATATATATGTATTTACGAAAAAAATCTTTGTATTTATATCAGTACCCATAACATAATCTTCAGCTAGCTTAACTTGGGTCTAGATGAAGCTGTATGAATTGTCCTGAGATTACTATTATTATTAATTGGTACACAGGTAAACTACTAACTAGGTCATATTGGTGTTGTTTGTTATGGTGAAAAAACTAGTAGGTATATATATAAGTTACACGTACAATTTCAAAGACTTATTTCTTGAAAACTACTGGCTATTCTGAAATAAAACTTTAGTGTTTGTATATGTAATGTTTGCCTATAAAATATGATTAAAGGTTACCAGTGTATTTACACTTTTACTGAACAAACAGAGTTGTTTAATACTGAAAATATTGTGTGGAAGGCATCAATTACTTTCAGTGCATGTATAGCTTTTCTCTTTTCCTAATTATTATTATTATTAAGTTTAAAGTGGTTGAATTTTACGTAAGGGGTTTTTATACATTATTTCTAATTTACCATTTATTTTAAGTTTTTTAAACTCTATTCATCGAGACCTATCTAATGAGTCCAAACACGATATTTCTGCTGTAAGTTTTCGAAGAGTATGTTCATCATCTGATAATACTGGTGCCAGCATGAAGTCAAGGTTAACAGATAACTAATTACTTTTATTTCGTCAAAATCTTTAGATTACGTATAATAAATTCATAATATCGCTACCTATTCAAATCAAAACAAGTATTAGGTACTTCATGTACTAGTATATAAATTCATCAACACACAAGTAAATGATTTTTAAATATATTCAGAGCCAAAAAATCTTTGTGCATTTAAAAAAAATGCCGATACGGATTCACTATTGCAGGAAATTGTTGAAAAAATATATATCGACTATAAGTATCTACTACTATCGACGAATACATTTGGCAACAACGCATGGTCTCGGCCGGAACGGCAACATCGCATATTAGAATACAAAGATAGTGATAGAAAGAGAGAGACAGTGGATCAGCAATATCTACGGATCGTGGCTGGATCAACTAAGTGTGCAAGTGTATATAAATATATATATATATATATACACTTGTCTTTAATTCAAAGGAAATATAAATAATGAACGCATCACATTTAAAACAGTATAAATAGTTAATAATTTAATAATAAGTTAATAGTTTAATAAGTACGTACGTAATATTATCACATGGTAACAGCACGTATTATGGCAAAAATAAACATCGGCTGATTTGAAAAGATTTATTATAGTAATAATAGTAATCTCAGGACAATTCACACAGCTTCATCTAGACCCAAGTTAAGCTAGCTGAAGATTATGTTATGGGTACTGATATAAATACAAAGATTTTTTTTCGTAAATACATATATATTATCTATACATAGAAAACACCCAGACCGTTACAAACAATCATACTCATGAATACAAATGTTTGCAGCGTGCGAGGAATCGAACCCTCGACCACCAAGCAGGAATCAAAGCAGTGTGCTAGCTAAATCGCTAGACTACCGACAACTAGCTGTACACGCGACTTCGTCCGCGTGGAATTTAACTTCTTATATTTTAGAAAAATAAAGTTAAATTCAACACTGACGAAATCCCGTGTACAGCTAGTCATCAATAAAAAAACACGTAGGTATCTCTAATATATTATACACTAGCTGTTCCCGCGACTTCGTCCACGTGGTTTTTAACTTTATTTTTCTAAAATAAAAGTAGCCTAAGTTACTCCTTATTACATCAGCTACCTGCCAAAAAAAGTCCCGTCAAAATCAGTCCAGCCATTTCAGAGATTAGCCGGAACAAACAGACAGACAGACAAAAATTGTAAAATATGTTATTTTGGTGTATGTACCGTATTTATATTCATATGCAAGTAGTAAAAAACGGTTATTTCAATATTACAAACAACAGGCTTCAACATTCTCAAGTACCACAAAAAAGATGTTTTTATTAAAAACAAGGTGTTCCCGCGACTTCGTCCGCGTGGAATTTAACTTTATTTTTCTAAAATAAAAGTAACCTAAGTTACTCCTTATAAATCAGCTACCTGCCAAAAAATGGTACCGTCAAAATCGGTCCAGCCATTTCAGAGATTAGCCGGAACAAACAGACCGACAGACAGACAGACTAAAATTATAAAAATTGTTATTTTGGTATATGTACCTTATATATATTCATATGCATGTAGTAAACATTACAGTAAAATTTTGTCAATAACATAATAGCAACTTAAACATTAAATCTCGGTATATCTATAGACTAGCTGGCCCCAGCGACTTCGTCCGCGTGAAATTTTATTTTATTTTTCTAAAATAACAGTAGCGTAAGTTACTCCTTATTACATCAGCTACTTGCCAAAAAAAGTCCCGTTAAAATCGGTCCAGCTATTTCAGAGATTAGCCGGAACAAACAGACAGACAGACAGACTGTACTATGCTATACTATGTATTGATTGATATACCTAAAATAAATAAAATATCTGAGGTTTGGACAAAAACTCAAAGGGTAATTTATTTTGAAAAAGTATTTTGAAAATACCTATTTTGCTTTTAGTGTTATAGTACTTTAACTGTTATGTTTTAAGTAACAATGTTTAATTATAATTAATACTACTGCACCAACACTCCGATCGTGCAAAAAAATTTGCTGTTTCATTATTTTTTAGTTCAATTAGTGGTCTACCTAAGTTCTGGGCTAAGGGGGGGGGGGGGGGAGAGTCATGACGCCCCCATGACTCCCATGACCTCCATGACGCTCCCCCCTGGATCCGCCGTTGCGTCTTCTCTTTATTCGCTCAGTAACGTTGTTACAAAAGAAAAGATTCCCGTCCAAAAAATAACAAATATTGAGGTTTGATCTGGAGTCACGTTACTCCAGACTGATTTCTATAAATATTTAGATTAGATAGACTATTATTCTTGAAATACTAGCTAGACATTATTAAGTTACTGTAGTCATAATGTAGTAGCCTAAACGTGCCAATGAGGAAGCCCTTGGCAAATGCTGCACCCTGATTGGCCCGTTTGAATTGGATCAAGAAGTGCTCGTATGCCAAAAAGGTGGATTTGTATAAAATCGTGTATAAATCACTTAATTATTATTATTACTCGTCGTGACAGTTGTGGCTCAAAACGGAGCAACATTTACATATGGTCATCTGGCATTAGATCAACAAAAGGCCTCCGGATCAACAAGTGAAAAAGGATCAACAAAAAACTACCTATACGGCACGTCTGAGCCACAAAGTGCCCAAGGGGATATTTATATATATATATATATATATATATATAACTCAAAGGTAACTGACAGTGATCTATCAAAGCACAGCCCAAACCACTGGATGGATCGGGCTGAAATTTGGCATGCAGTTAGATGTAAGCATCCGCTAAGAAAGGATTTTGATTAATTCTACCCCCAAGGGGATAAAATAGAGGATGAAAGTTTGTATGAATCTTTGTCAAATTTAAATTGATCGGGCTAAGACCTTGCATGCATAAATCTATTATGGCGTTGGCATCCCCTAAGAAAGGATTTTGATAAATTCCTCCCCTAAGGGGATAAAATTACGCGAACGAAGCCACGGGCAAAAACTAGTTTAAACATATGTATAAGTATTATATAATGTATATTATATTATTTTTTTTAGGAAGTTCCTGAAAATATAAGAAGCATTGTGGAGAAATGTTTAAAAATAAATCCGAGTGAGAGAGCTACATTCACTATACTAGCTGAGGAATTGACACAAATTGATAACAAAGAGTTAGTAGCCGTAAAACCTGCGCGTGGCCTCATGGGATGCAAGCTGCAGTTTCTTTACTATTGGTGGCAGTTGACAGGAGGAGATATACAGGCAGAGTTGAAAAAAAATTGCCTAATCAAGAACAGCCCGCCAATATTGTCTCTGCCTATGTAAGTTTACATATATGTTTGCTAAAAATTATACAGTAAGTTAGTGTTCCATTCAGTATTATGGTGATAAATCCTTATAATGAAAGTATATTTGTTTGTTTGGCCATCCTAACCAAACTATGGTTGAATGCAATGATGGTCATGGCTTGTTTTGCAATGCCGATTTGTAAGGTTACATAGACATATAAATCTGCAACTTGTTGTCCATAGACAGTTTTAAGTTTAAATTTTTTCGATTGTTGCCTTTAAGTCAGCTATCAAGGTGTATTCCAACATTGTCTTTATGTGGTAAAGCATTAAGTTTATCTAAATAGTAAACAATGAGTTTTAGGTTTATTTATGTTTTTATTTACAGAGCAATTCTCTTAGACGGTTGCACAGTAGGTAGGAAGACTGGAGCTCTGTATGATCGTCGTATTGCAAAATATAGTCTGGATTTGTTGAAAATACGCCTCAATCATATATCACCGCATGATTTCTATCCACTCATGCACGAGAGGAAGAAGGAATATGATGCTGTCGCACTGCCCAAGATAATTAGAGAGAGGGATACAGAGTATCAATTTTATAGATTAATGTGGTTTCACAGGTTGTTACATGTAAGTTCAAATTTTCAAAGTACTTCACAAACTTGCTAGAATTATAATAATGATATCTCAGGACCATTTCACACAGCGCCATCTAGTAGTTCCAAGCTAAGCAGAGCTTGTGTTGTGGGTACTAGACTACTAATGCATATACCTATTTTTTTTTAAATACATAATATACATAGAAAACACCCAAATTAATACAAACATTTATAGTCATGAATACAAGTTTTTTACTCAAATTCACACAAGCAGTGTCTCGAGATTGTACACCAATTTATCATTGGTATTATTTGAAATGAAATTAATTTATTTACTATCATCATCATCATAATCTATATGTCCAAGTAATACTGTCAACTGTTTAATTGTCCCAATTTTAAATATATTTTTAGGGATATCCATTCACATCGCCGTACATAAGAGCGGAGGCGGAGATAGACATACCGCCGCTAGTGCGCGGCGACGTATGGGCGGCTCTACTTGGCGTCGTTGGCGATATACAGGATCAGTACGAGAGGATAGACAAAGAGACACCAACGCCTACTGACAGACAGGTAAAATGAAAATAAAATGCACCAACAAAAGTCTATTGAGAATTTTAAGTTTTTTTTATCAAGTTGAGTCAAAGAGATTAAGCTCACACAGTCGTTGTCTTTTGTAGCAGCTATATACTGAAGTGTTAAAATGATTGCTCTCTCTGACTGATCGTATCTGTTCACTTTCAGAAACAACCCTATAAGGAATTGTGAATGTATAAAAAAAACATGGTCTTTTTTATTTTTTTCAGCTTTTAGCTTATATGCATATTCACATTTAAAGAGATATTCCATTAACATCCAAAACAGAGACAGATAGACAGTTTTAGCCCCATCACAATCTTACGGTATTATTAATTATATGTAAAAAAGATTTGATAATAATGATATTGTGCATCCTCCTGCTTTAACGGCATATGCTGGCGATAAATAGATATGAAAAAATGAGGATGAAGTCAGATCAGTCAGCCCATAATGGCGAATTCATTTGGTATTAACCACGACAGTTTCAGAGAGACAGAAGATCCGCGTGGAGGTTGACCTAACATGGTGCATAACTAGCAATGGGGACGCTAGTCCCTGTCACTAATAATCTCCTATCCCCACTGATTATACTCTTTTAAATGTTACTTTTTTTTATTGTCAATCTCCTAGATAGACGTGGACATCCCTCGGTGCCACCAGTACTGTTTGCTGCTAAGCGGCTCAGATGGTCACCGAGCACTCAAGCGATTGCTCAAAGCGTGGCTGCTGACTAATCCACAGTATGTCTACTGGCAAGGTCTAGACTCACTCACAGCGCCATTTTTGTATTTGAACTTTTGCAATGAAGGTAAGAAATAGAGTCGTTTATTTCCGATAGATTATAACATATTCATGAGTTATTTAAAAAAAAAACTTTGTTTCAGCTCGCGCTTTTGCCTGCCTCTCGGCGTTCGTTCCCAAATTTCTGCACAAGTTCTTCTTGAAGGACAACAGTTCTGTGATAAAGGAGTATTTGGCCAAGTTCTGGCAGATGACTGCATTCCACGAGCCCAAGTTAGCTACCCATCTGCACGAGATAAATTTCGTGCCAGAATTATTTGCGATACCCTGGTTTCTGACTATGTTTTCACGTAAGTTGCATTTGAAGCATTATGATGATTCTTTTTTATTTAAATTTAGATAAGCTTCTCATGTGGTTTGACTACAACAAACTAATAACATTCAGAAGGAATTATCAACTAATTAATAATAAACTAACAGGAACACAGTTACTGCAAATATAAGATATAATATAAGATATGTATAATTAGAAAAAATTATAAACTTAAAAGGTAACAGTAATTAAGGCTATTATTATTAAGCTTCTCATGTGGTCTGATGTAAGTTTGATCAATATCTGATCAGCAGTTTGAGTTATGTTTAAAAATGCTTTTGAAGTTGCCTTTTTCATGATCTGAACTTGGATATAATCGTCAAAGTTAATTTTCATTAGAGCTCTATAAAAAATACTATAGTTTCTTTATGGAACTTAATATACTTGTTATTACTAAAATTTCTGTCTGATGAGTAAAGTCGCACAAATTATTTGTTAATATCAGTTATATATTTCTTCTAGATGTTTTCCCACTACATAAAATCGTTCACCTCTGGGACGCTTTATTAGTAGAAGGTCCGTCACTGCCATTGTTTATGGGCGTTGGTATATTGCGACAACTACGCGATACACTGCTGGCATCAGGTTTCAATGAGTGCATATTACTGTTCTCGGATCTGCCTGAAATTGATATTGGTGAATGTGTCAAGGTAAATTGCACTAATAATTAATCACAGGGTGATTAATTATTATATACAGCGCCATTTAGTTCGAAGGTAAGTCGAGCTTGTGTTAGTGGTACAAGACAAATGATAGAAATACTTAAATACATAACAGAAGTCCTGCTTAGCTTGGGACTAGATGGCCCGTGTGAATTCTTCAGGGATATTGTTATTATTATTGCTTTCAATAAAGAATGTCGTTTTTGTTAATATTTCTTTTTTAGGAGTCCATAGACATGTGTCGGAGTTCTCCGCGCAGTATTAGTTACAGAAGATTTACTAATGAAGCTGAAATAAAAGATCCAATGGTAATTATCGATTTTGATTTTAAATTATGATTATAGAAACATATACCCAGGTTGTCAGTAACATATTCGCTTTGGCGCGATAAGGCCGCCTTTTGTTAACATATTTGTGTGTTGAGGTTTTTTTTTTAATATTTGTTTTTTTATTATGTATGTAATGTTTAAAGATGAATATAAATACATTCCATACTTTACATTTCTGATATATTGTGCAAACTCCCCTTACATTGCAACACATATACACAGCTCAACCTTGCCTCTGTCTACCCCATCTGGGAACAGCCCTGAATACATACATATATGTATCTTGTAAACTTTGTATAGACCTGAAGATAGAAATACTTTAATATAATCCCAATTTACGAGTATATAACATAAACTATTAATTGCAGGATGTAGTAGAGATACCAATGGATACCCTATTCACTGAGATTTGTCCACGCATCTGTCTCTCCGATTTCTTCTCATTGATATGCCAAAACAAGAGCTGTGTTATCGACATAAGGTCTAATTTACTGTGAGTATAAAATGTAAAAGCAATATTATCAGATAGCATGATTATTTTTTCCTACATAAAACAGGATCATAGACATTACATTGTAATATGAGGTCCATAGTTTGCCATATAGGAGGACTAAGGTGTCATGCCTACGTAATTTGACTGCCCTACCATATGCCACCCTTCATGCTAAAACATATCTTTGTTACTGTGGTATATGTGGGAAAGAAAAGGAAGCATTATGTCGTCTCAAGCGCACACTGCTGACGTCATGCGGGCATTAAGCGACAAGTGAGAACAGTGGTGGTCTGAGAGCCGATAATTAGTAAGACAAACAGTATTATATAATACAAATATAATACAAAATTACCTGACACTGAAGTAGGTGAAATAAAGTCGACAATTGTACAAAATTTATCTTTTGGTTTATATTATATTTTATTTTGATAAAAATAGGAAGTCTGTTTTATTCTTTCTTTTATGTTTAATTATTTCTTATTTGTAGGTACGAGAAAAGTTGCATCGAAGGCAGTATCAATGTACCATTCAGCGGAGTGCAGCTGGGACATGTATCGCTTCGCTCGCTTGGCATTCCAGCGCAGAACGCGCTGCAGGCAGCCGCTCGGCCGCCTCGTGTCGTCGTCGTAGCGGGCCATGCAAATGATGACAGTGCTCGTCTGGTGAGTTTTGCGTATATTTTTTTTAATAAATGCAACCGCTTGCGCTAACGAATTGAAAGGGAACCAGTGATGATAGCATGAGAAACAAGTCAGTTAAGTATGTTTTTGTATGTTATTCAATGACTGTTGATGTCTCGTTCAGATGCGAAACACGTGACGCAGTTTGAGTGTGGACTCAATAATGGTCGAAATTTAGTCGCCAATAAAGAAGATCGTTTACGCTTCCAATACGGCCACCACGGTCAGGGTTCCAAGCTGAGTATTTATGGTCTCAGACATACTAATATAGCTGAATTAAACAAAATAATACAAATTCATCAAGTAATAAAATGGACTTCCGCAAAGTAACACCTTTATCATTGCCATGCCTTTATCTTATTATTTGGGGTCAGTGCAGTAACACCTAACTCAATTATACAAAAAGCAACATAGTTAGTTACAATAAAGTGAGTACCTGCGGTTACCATATTTTCTTTAGAAATAAATAATTGTAATAGTAGAAAGGAAGAATTATGTTTGTTTGATCAACAATTAACGTTTCAGTTATTTCTTTAGCACTACCTGCGAGCAACATTAACACATTGTTTTTTTGTTATAGTTCAGCGAGTATTTAGTGAAGTGTGATGTGGCCAGAGTGTGTATTCTCCATGGTGGTATACCAGCATTACAAGCACAAGTGCCCTCTCTCTTCACAACTCCGCCCAAGAGGAATTGACGGCAACAGAGAGAATACGATCAGTTAATGCGAAATTTCTAATTGTGATAATAAAATACAGATATACTATTGCGAGCATTATGCGAGCCCTTGTTATTACTTTTGTATATAATTATATATTCATTGTTATTTGTATATAAGTTGGTTCAGTATCCGGCTCAAAGGACCAAAAAATGTCTAGGTTTCTTGTATTAGTATGATAAGGATGCTTATGATTAAGGTAATTGATAAATTGGGATATTTGTTGATAGAAGGAATGATATATAAATAATATAATCAAATGCAGTGTGCATGATTAGCACTTAAATTCTGTTTTTGTAGCTAGTACATTTTTATAGTATTTGGAATACAAACTTGTACGAAATTTAAAATATTTTTCGTCTCCCATTATGTAGCGGACTGTATAACATAAACTTTATATCTATATAAACTTGTTTATTGTATGTATTTTTATTTTTATTTATATAATTCTAATGCAGATCATACAGCGGTAAAAGTATGTGAGGCGGACTTAACATCTTGTCATCTCTAATGGTAGAAGAGTTGGCGGTGCAACTATAAATATAAATAGAAAAAAAAAAATCTTTATTAAAATAAACTCATTACAAGCACTTTTGAATAGTCATATTTTGATTCTACCACTCATTCGGAATGCAGATTCATCACAAGAAGAATGAACAAGAAACGTGTGTAGCACTTTTTATTAGATGTTTTTTTATATAAATAATTACAGTATAACAAGTAAGAGCGATAATCAACAGAGAAATCGCTACGCACTCATTATTAGTGTAATCAGATAATATTGTCAGTGCTATGGATTTAAAGTTTTTCTATAAAAACATTATTATCGTTTGCGAATTCTTAAATTTTATAGTAAGCTCTTTTGCAAAGGAAGTGTTTTATTTGACATTTAAATCTTTTTTCTGGCAGATTTATAACAAACTCTGGTATTTTATTGTAAAACCTTACGCAATTGCCATAAAACGAATTACTAACTTTAGCCAAACGACATTTAGGTAAAATCAGTTTGTTATTGTTACGTAAGCTTTTATTAGTGCAATCACTAACTCTTTTGAAACTGTCTATATTCTTCCTGGCATAGATGATATTTTCATAAATGTATTGAGAAGCAGCGGTGAGGATATTTGATTCCTTAAAGCACTGTCTTAAAGACTCCCTAGAACCCATACTATAAATGGAGCAATATATGATAAACAGCATGTCACACTTACAATAAGCAATATATATATATATATTTACTAAGCACAACGAAGAAAAGAGCTCATTCCTTCTTAAAAGTCCAGTAACGCACTTGCAATGGCCCTGGTATTACGTATGGTCATGGGCGGCAGTAATCACTTGCCATCAGGTGAGGTGCAAACTTGTTTGTCCCTTTGTATGTTATACAAAACAAATATATATCAATAGCTATAAATATACATATACTATACATAAATGCATACCAAATAAGAATGTAATAAATGTTGAACTTAATTATCAAAATATTTCGTCGCCGTATAATTGGTATGGTTTAAATAGATATCTATATGTTTAACAATCTAGCGTACCGTATTTTTTGTGTCTACCATGACGTCATAATTCACAAGTTGTTTACATTCTGATATTAGGCCTTCCCCGCTAAAAGAACAGGAAAATAATACCTGTTAATTATTTTTGTTAATCTTAGACATTTATAGGGTTTCTCCAAATACCAGGAATGCAAACCTTGATATTATCTGTCTGTTTGTATAGTATAGTTTAGCCTACGTTTTTATTAAAAATATATTATCTAGGGATTTTTATAGAAAAAAAATGTGGAAGGTGTATGAACTATTTTCCGTGATCTGAAAATTATCCTTATTCTATAAATATAATATAGCTATTATTTGATTTTAATTAATTTAATAAACTAATATGATTTTATGTAATTATACCTGTAAAGTTAGTAAATGTTTAGAATTTGGTTAAGAATATTTTTTTTAATAAACGCGACTGAAACCGTACTTGTTATATTAATTTAGTGATATTAATATTGCTTCTACATCAGAATAACACATAGGCTATAATTTAAAATTATATGTAAATTGGGCCAAAAAAATTTAAGTAAATGTGACGCAGACGTAGTTGCACGGGTCAGCTAGTATCATATACATATGGTTAATAATGCAAATAATTGATAATGTCACCCTGAAGCATGCATTTTTAAATTATATTTGTTTTTGTGTTTTATTTTATATTTAATACTTGCAAATAATTGATAATGTCACCCTGAAGCATGCATTTTTAAATTATATTTATTTTTGTGTTTTATTTTATATTTATTTTAATTCTTAGGCCTAAATAATTTCATTTTTATAATGTAATCCAAAGGATCTAATTGTTCTATCAATGTGTTAATCGGTACTCTAATTATTTAATTCAATATACATATATACTTATTATAAAGTTGTTTTTATAAATAATTTAAGACGTAGAGTCTTTTTTTATACGGTGTGGAAAAGTCCCTCCATCCATCAAATCTCTTCAATCAATCTCATTCAAAAGACCCCCTCCCGTCTCTGATACAGAGGTGACAAGGGGTTTGTGGAATTCTTATCCAATAAAAAATTACACGGTGTACCTACAAATGCCATTACCGGAGTCGCGAGGTCGTTAGCATTCTACCATTATTTTAGCGCCTTCACCATAACACCTAATGTAAATCCGTGAATAACTAGAGAATAGTAGTAGTAGAATAAGAAATAAAACAAGGTTTGAAATTGAATTAATTTTCGGTTTTAGATCAGCGTTATTCGATTCGTTATGTGTTTTAAATGAATTTTATAATTAAATGACTTTACCCGTTCGGAATATCTACAAGAAGATACGGGCAAGAAACTTGAATCTTGCTCTTTGTTATAATAATGTTTCCGTTACAATGTTTACATGCTTATGATTGAAATTAATGTTATACATAACTTCTTAATATTAGAACTGTCAGGAACCCAGCTGTAAGATTCGTTGGATGCTGTCGGAGGTCACCTTCGTCGCGTGCACGCGTCGTCTTATACCTGAATACCGACTCGTAGTTCCCTCGTAGTATGAAAATTGGATAAAGAAAGAAGATAAATATCTTAGTCTCATTATTGAAGACTAACCCAGTTGGAACTATAGTTGTAAATATATTCTATATGACGATCAACAAAAATGATGTTTGCTCTCCCATGGCAAAAAATCAACATGGAACAGTACTTAGTCGGAGAATAGAGTGACTACCAGCACATGCTATTGCAATGTTGTCAAAAGCATTTATGGCAGCTGCTCGCATAGTGTGTAAAGCCAATACAACCCTCGACTCTTCCCCAAACATCGGAGAATCGGAAGCGATCAGTGCCCTTCCATCACGGACCGTTCCCGGCCCAATGGGTCCTACTCTTAATATACTTGAAATACTCAAGAGGGGAATTGCCGGGAAACCATCACTGTATATAAGGGGAGTAGCACTTTTTATGGATGCCCCAGAGGAAAGACTGGGCATATGCTTCTGTAATGCTTTGGCGCCTAACAGAATTACCATCTCACCCGGGTTGGCTGTGCTTATGAATGGCAGTACGTCCAGGATCACCCAAAAATAGTACAAAACCTACGCACCGGCAGTGATAAACAATGTATTGCCGGATAATCGTCAAAAATAAACCTTATACGACCAGACTGGAGGAGTAGTAAGCGAGGGCCGATCCATCCCCAGGATCATCAGTGTAGATGCAATGGTGACGTATGACAAGCAGCACCGCTTCACGAGTATGATGGATGTACCAGCTATCATTGCACTCAATCATCCTCCACTGGTGTTCTACCAACATAAACCGTTAACGAACCCATCGTGATAAAGTCTCGGTGATTTGTCACGTTGGGCTAACTGACCTGACCTCACGTACATCTTATCACCTTCCACTGGTGCCCCGCCAGTGTAAACCGTTAGCGCAGGCGGGTGCACTATTCCATTATCATCAATTAAAAAAAAACTACAGTTGCCACAAGAACATAGTCAGCGTTTTACAGACTTAATATATAATTATTCAATATTCTAATTAAAACTGTCTATTACATTGAATTGAAATGAAACTATTATATTGAAATTGTGACATTGCGGCTACGTTCATTTCTCGGCGCGTGTAAGTTTTGCTCTTCAGCACTTTTGTATAGGGCTGTGCGGGGCGCTTTGGACTGGAAAGGCCGGAACAAGTATAAAAAAAAAAAAAAAAGGAAAGGAAAAGAAAAGGAGGAAGAAGGAAAAAAAGAAAAGAAAGGAAAAAGGGGAAAGGGAAGTGAAAAAGGGAAAAAAAAAAAAAAAATTGCCGAATTACGACAAAAAGTGAACTGTGAAATTAAACAATCAATAATTAAACAAAACCTGGACTATAACAAATACTGTACTAAATAATGATTTATATAATTGTTTCATTGTAATAAAAACATACCATAATATCACATAACATCTTACTAGACAATAAAACACGTCACGGTCGAACATAGAATCTTCATTTTATGAAAACGGTTAAACATTAGAAATTAATTCAGAATTAATAGCAAAGTACCAAATGTAATGTTTTTAACCGCCCCATGCTGGTCAATTAATTAATTACTTTGGTCCATTAAATCAGTATAATATATGTAGATAACATTTGAATAACTGATAAAACTACAAAATAAAAAAGGTATGAGTTTAACAAAAATAATTTTTATAATCTATAGTTTAACTACAATTTGTTTTGTAATATGTATCACATTCGGTTGTATTATTCTTGAAAACCCAATTAGTTAAAAATTCAAATTGATAGTTCCTGAAAGGATATATTCACAACTCGTTCCATAAAGAGACAGTCAATGTTATTCCTTAATAAGTTTAGATACTAGTCAATATGTTCATATGCAGTGTTCTTTTAAATATTCAATTTTAATATATTTTCACCTTGTGAAAAATATACTATTTACTTATTAATTATTTGCAATCTCCACCTTGTATACAAACATCCATGGACTGTCTTTCTGCTCAACATTATTCATTGTGAGTGTAAAACAAACAAAAACTACATAGATTTCTGTGTTTCGGTTTGAAAATATATTTTATTTGTGGCTTCCACCTTGTGGAAGTGTACAAATATGCATTCGAGTAAAGAGAGGAATGCTCCCATTATCCTTCAAAACTACATATTAAGTAATCTCACAAAATTCTTAGAGGGGTCAGGGAAGTTTTCCCTTAATATAAATGAATAATTATTTCATAAGTATTTATCAATTATTAAGCCGTACTTAATAATTAAATATTAATCATATGGACAGGAGTGTAGTGTTATATCAGAATAAATAAAATATCATCATCATTTCAGTCGCTCCTCCTTAAATATCGGTTCCTTAGTTTGTTGATTGCACTGAGCATATTATAATAATTAATACTTTATTTAGTACTTAGAATCCATTCTAGTTACAGCAGCCTTAAATTAAATTTAAAAAACAAGATGAATTAAGCTTGTTTGTCATTGTCACCTATATACATGAATGGAACCCAATCTTATGTATCATAGATATTACCATATCTATAATACAATTATTAACATCACCACGCTGCCCTCCAAAGTGTACCCAAATTATCTACCTTACGACTAAAATAAAATCACAATAAACTTAAATAATAATTAAAGTTTTATACGACCTGTCATGTGGTAGCTGTTCTATCTCACCAATAACCTTTTGACGTCGACGTCTCTCGTTCGGCCACCGTCGCACCGTCCCGGATTCGTTATTCGTTGCCGTCTCTCAAGGAACGCGGAAATTAACCCTTAATTCAGATCGACTAGTCCGCTAGTTCCGCTACTCGTTCCGACACCCGCTGCCTATTTCAGATCGACTACCCCGCTATCCGTTCCAAAACCAACTGTCCCGATTTCTCCGTGTCTCAATCCCACCATGACACGCATTGCCTCCCCGCGCCCCTTGTCCTTCTTACTTTTACTATTTTTTGCTAACGTCCCTTAAAGCAAATCTTAAGCAAGCCACTGTCCCATGTCGTGCCCTGTCTAATCAACTTATTATTTTATTGTTTTAACTCGACATCTTCTCAGCTTGAGTTCTACATAAGTGACGCCACGTCTAATAAAGTATACTAATTTATGTTACCTAAATAAACAATACTTAGAAAATATCCTACAATATCCAGTTGTAACACGAAATATTAGATGAGAGTTAAGCCGTTTTTTGAAGTAATTATTTAAGTATTCCGTTCCACGAACAAATCTTACTAATACGCACTTACTATATTATAATATCACGTCAATCTATTAGATATTAGATTTACTTATCCAATTTTTATGGAACAATCAACATACCTAGTATGTGATCGTTACAGTACCAAATGTAATGTTTTTAATTCTCAATTAATTAATATGGTTAAATCATATAATATATGTAGAAACAACAAAACCTAAAAAAAGGTAATTACAATTTTTATATCTAATATGTAGTACCCTAATAATTTAAAAGCTAGTATAAACACAGACTCTACTTAGTTTAGAACTAGATGATGCAGTGTGAATTTTCATGGATTACTTTCATTATTTACCTCGTATTTGGATCATTGTGAGTGTAGAACCAAAACTACTAGAGTATGAAGCCAAGGGAGGAGCCCTGATCTGCAGAAGCTTCCTGGTGTATTCACATGTTTATTATATTATCTGTGCTGATACGCAAAAGGAGTACGTGAGCGACCGAGAAAGAATATTTATTGTCTTTAACATCTATTGTACACAAGTGTTTAAGCAACAGTGACCCGTTATTATACCTATAATTTTGAGGTTTTCTTATTAAGTTTAACAGTACTTTTATTAGTTGTTAATTTACTATTAGAACTGCTTATCCTACCAGTTGTAACAGTATTGATGTTAATTGAATACACTGAGTACCTTCTGCATTATTTAATTATAAATGTGTCAGTAGCGAGTTCCCACAGATTACTCATTGAGATTGGAAGACATGAAACTACCCACATAATTAGCCGCGTATTGTGTGGGCAGCCCCCTAGCGTCGCGACGTCACGTTTTACCCCCTAGTTATGAATGGGAGGCTTGTATCAGCGGGGCGGTGGGGGGATTCATAGGAACCGCGGGCTAGCGGCCGCATTCGCCGGCTGTACTCCGCTCGTATTGCGTGTGTTGCTCGCGACCTAACAGTTACACGACATTCCTCGCGTGCAGTGAAACTTCACGAAAATTATTATATTGCAAAAGCAAATGGGCATCGATAGTGAAACCTAAACTTGTGATGATGCACAGTGTTCTGTGATAGTTTGTTGTCACCTGACAGTAAGTTAGTGATAGTTTACATTGAGAGTTTCGCATAGATCGGGAAAGGACTGAAGTGACAGTTGGGTGTGTTTCGTGCGAGTTTTTCCTCCAGGGATTTCTTGTCGCTAGCCGGAGGCCGCTGGCACACCGGCCCCGACATGGAGGTATACTTCGACAGCGACCTGAAGGACGTGTGGGAGGCGGACATCGACCCGGTGAGTCGACCTTGCTAGATATCTGTTATCGTCTAGAGGAGAGAGCTCGCGGTCTAGATCATACCTAGTAAATATATCTATGATGTGCATAGTATAGATGCCCAATAGTTGTTTCATGTTAAATCACGCACTTTTATTCCTTGTAGCTCATTTCGCGGAATTTATTTCACGCTCTAAACAATTCGTGAAAGTGCGAGGGCGGATTCGTGCCGGGTATGTTGATAACAACGATATCAACAAACAGTTATAACTTGTGTGTATGTAGTTATGTGCCTACCTACTTTTAGACGCAGTTTCGGTGTACGTAGATATGTACTCAGGCGCCTAGCTTAATGTATTATTGGGAGATGATTTTAGTGTTATAAATGTACCTACAATTTATTACTGCAGGTTCTGTAATAGTTTGTAATTAATCATTTTTTTATTGAAGTAGGTAAATACGTAGATAAGTAACTACATTTAATACGGTTTGGAGATATCTGAGTTCGGCAGCTTTTGAAATTATACTGTTATCATCCAGACTCGATTGTGTGAATTCTAACAATTAATTAATCTATGTTGATATTTTTTTAATACATTCTTATCGCATGATTTATTTGAAACTTTTTTAACCGTTAATAATCTGTAGGAATCCTAGGTAGGTAGGTATCTACAACTTATGTTAAACAGAAGTTTTTAACCATCCGCTATTGTCTCTGAAAATATTTCCGAATAACAAATAATAAGTACCTACTTGCATATTTTTTTCACAAATTATTTAATGGCTAACTGACATATTTTATTCAATCATATCTAAGTATTATTATAATATATTAGTCTGCTCTACTGACAAAATTAATAATAAACATTGTGATTTTTTTGCGGGATAACATTCCTTATAAGATTACCACAGCAGTTGCATTTAAATAAGACCCTGATGATGACAATTCTCTTTTTTGTTGATACTATACTAATCACAATGCATTAATCATATTAAATATGCAACGCACTCAAATATATTTTGAATTATCTATAGTAGTGTATTATATTTTTCGACATTTGAAATAACTAAAATATTAATCAAATCAAATACTATTTATTTAAGAAATATTATAAACAATATTTTTCTTAATTCACAATTTTGTTCTCTACAGACAAATGTCGATAAAATCTCCGTCTGTGCAGACCAAATGCAAATGTACCTATCCTCCCTGATTAGTAGCCATTAGAGTCTACAATTAAGATTCTTAATAGTCGCATTAAACGTTAATTTGTATAAGTATCACCTGTGACAACATGTAACTTGAATACTACAGAATAATTAATGGTGCTTACATACTTGGATTATAGTGCAATAAATTACCGACTGATAACTAATGGAACTAAAATATGTCATTGAAATTTTATTAGTAAGTAGCTGTTCCCACGACATCGTACGCGTAGTATCCGGAACAACAATGGGTCATAACTTTTTTGTTTGTGAAGTGATTGGAATGAAACAAACACTAAATGTTACGGGAAGCATCAGTGAAAATTGAATTCAAATTAGTTAAACCGTTTCTGTTATTAGAGTACACAAACCACAGATAAAAAATAGACAAACAAATTAACATTCTAAGACTATTTATTTGAAATGGATAACATAAAAACAAGGTTTACAAATTGTTTTTGTGAAAATATTTAATATGTACAGACAATCGTATAACGTAAACATGTCGTTTACGTTTTATTGATGGTAATAAGTATTATATTATTTAAAAAATAATGATGATATATTTAGAAGAGAGAAAATAGCGGTAAGAAAATAATTTTTATGCCTTCCTCTTCTGGTAATTTTGTATGAACTTCTACTTTTTTTATTTATGCTTAGAGCCAGATTCGTACACACTATCGCCTTGAGTATTTTCTTGAGTAGAGGTTTCTTTTGAACCCGTAATTACCTAGTTAATAATAATATCGAGTAATTTGGAGAATAATATATAAAGAAAAAATAGATAATAATAATAATAATATCTCACGACAATTCACACGGCGCGCGGCGCGGCGCTTTCGAGTCCCAAGCTAAGCAGATTTTGTGTTTTGGATAGTAGACAACTAATACGAATACATAGACACGTTTCTTTTTTGTAAATACATACATATTATACATACAACCATACACACCGATACAAAAAATAGTACTCATAAATACAAATTCCGTGCGAGGAATCAAACCAGCAACTATTGGAAGTAAGGCGGTGTGCTAAATCGCTAGACCACCGAGGCCGTCGAATACAAGTATATATAAGAACAAATATATATATATTGAGTTGCTACATGGTTATTGATCAATGATCATTTTCAATATAACATTCTTTGATCAACAGGCAAAAAAATATATAAGGAAGCAAGAAAAATGCTTAAATAATTCTGAACTGGGCTTCCAATTTAAATCTACACTACTCCCTAATTTTAAAGGTACTTGCTCATATAACTCGCTAAATCCTATAGAATTAATAATTGTCAGTGGGAGGAAAGTTTTATGGTTACAACAACCATGGGTTTTGCCATTAGATAATGTTATTCCATAGCTGTGGCGGTTCGTCGGCCGGAAAGTCGATACCGTGATAAATATTATACAACCTGTCTCGATTATCCACACACACGAACTAAGAATTCGGGAGAGGTCATTGAGACCTCCATTAGGATTGCCACCTGTAACTTGTTCTTCGCTATGCGGTGACGTCACGGTAATGGTCGGTAACCCGGCCGAGTTGCGAAGGCGATTTGCATGGTGCGTTTTGTTGTGAGCACGCGTGCTACCATGTTCGGACAGGTTGCCGAAGCTACATGTCTTATAGTCGTCGTACGGTAACATGGAGCGTCGACCTGGTGCGTTGAACTGAGGGGCCAGGCGCCGTAAGCTTTTTTTATAGCACCTACGTATGTCCATACTTATACATTATTAAGTTCATAATTAGTACCTGTAACGTATTGACAGATGGTATAATAATGTTGAAACCAATGTAGCGTACAGTTTTATAGTACATATCTTCTTCTTCTGTAGGTGTCATCTCCTATCGTAGGTTGGCGATCTTTATTTTGTCCACGCCGCTCCTGAAAAGAAATATGGTGCTCATTCTAAACCACTGCCTGAGGTTTTTCAACCATGAAGTAGCGTCTACCTGGTCTTCGGACACCCTGGATCTTTCCCTGTATTATTAATTGCAGATGACTGTATTTTTCATTCCGCATTATGACCCAGGTATGGCAGTTTACGGCGTTACAGTATTTATGTACTATACATATACTGAGATATTAATAAAACGTCAAGTTTATCAAAAATTGATAGGTACGTGAGTGAAGTCACTGGCAATGTAATCGCTGAGATAAACATTTTTTAAGATGAACACACGTCTCTAAAACACCTTACACACGACACAAGTCATAGATGCACTGGTGTTAGTACAATAGTTTCATCGGACACACTATGACAAACCGGCCCTGCTTTCGCTACGCATGAGTCTATCTAGGAATTGACGGCCTCGGTGGTATAGCGGTTTAGCATACCGCCTTACTTCCGATTGTCGCGGGTTCGATTGCTCGCACTGTACAAATATTATTATTCATGAGTATGAGTGTTGATATCGGTGTTTGTGTTTTCTATGTATAATATGTACGTATTAAAAAAAGTATCTATATATTTATATCAGTTATCTAGTACCCATAACACAAACTCTGCTTACCTTGGTACTAGATGGCACTCTGTGAATTTTCTAGGGTAATTATTCTTAAGAATCAATTCAGAGCACTCTTCACCTTTGTTCCGATATCGCTCCCTTATTTTCGTAACGTGTGTAGACCAATTGTACATATTTTATATTTTTTATAGATCGCTATCGACCCGCACTGTTTCGCCCGTGTGCAATTACGATATTTAAAATTTCTATTTTATTTATAACATATGATTCTCTTGGATAATGTAGCATTGTATAGAAAGGAATATTATTAAAATCACTAAAGTGTTTTTGTTTAACCATTGTAAAAAAAAGTAAATTTTTATAATACGTTACCTATTTCTAATTATTTTAGTTTAGACAGTGGTAAGAGATGTTTAGATGGTGCTGCCGTCTGTTATAACGGTAAATACTGCGGACCGCTAATGGAAGACGATGCTATGAGAATAAAATGAGATCAACTTACCTAGATAGCCCACCGTGGTGAATGGAAGTTTTCAAGGGAAACGGCGTGATGGTCGACATTACAAGGTCATTTGGTGTGGTACTTTGCCAGTAGGCAGGGGGACGGTATTACCCTTTATTAACAATTCTATTGTAATTTTTTTATTCTTCTTGCTAATAATATAAATTCTGTGTTGTTAGACAATTCTGACATAGACACTTATTTTATATAAGTACTAGCTCTATCTGTTAAAAAGACGGCTTCAAAATCTGTTGCGTAGTTTTAAAGATTTATGCATACATAGGGACGGACAGACAGCAACAACGACTTTGTTTTATACTATGTAATAATGATTACAAAGATGTAAGTATGTGAGTTTGGATATACGGGACAATCTCTAATATGGGCATTTATGTAGCAAGGCTCTAGTATATATAAAATCACGCTACAGCCAACAGTACCAGAGCTACAAATAAAATCAGCAAACAAAGATCACTTGGTCAAGGTATAAATATTAAAATATGATCTGATGAGTGTTGTACATATATATATATAAATATATATAAGGACCATCAGGGGGACCGTCAACCTCTATGCCTTTCCAATTACATGAAAATAACATACTCACGAAACTTTTTACACCGAATGTAATGAATTATTTTTAAATGAATAAATGTATGCATATTACAAATTATTATATTGAGATTCCGTTTCCTTTATCCAAAAAAAGTCATCGCCCGTCCGGTGTCCGGTCAGTGCGTCATTGCGTCTACTACAACCGATTCCAGTTAGGGTTATCAATGTACTAACATTGCCGTTCATGCACAGAGTAAATACGCACTTATAGATACACTAAACAG